GCGTAATATTTTGAGTGGAACTTGACAAACACTGCAGAATAGGAGAATACGTAGAATGAAGTAGAATGAGGAAAAGTGGCACCTATGTGATCCAGCAGCCTAAACATATAGCAGCACAAGTACAAACAATAGCTCAGGATAATTAACTGTTTTGAAAGAGGTATAAGAAAAGTACGGTAGAGCCAATGAGAACTGTCTGTCCATACTTAAATTGTAGGGAATATAAGGTAGGAGAAATACAGTATGATCTGTTTTTATTTTTTATAAGAACTCTGGCTGCACCATTTTGAATTAGTTGAAGGCTTTTATTGTAACTACAGTTTTTGGACTTTCTGATAGTAAAGAATTGCAATAGCCCAGCCTTAAAGTAAGAAATGTATGGACTAGTTTCTCAGCAGATATTTCTAATTTTTGCGATATTTATAGATAAAAGAAGGATATTTCTAGAAACCTCTTTGATGGGGGATTTAAATGACAGGTAGTGAACCAAAATAACACCAATAAAGAAACATTCAAAGAAAATTAACAAATTAAAGTCAGACATTGCTTTTTAACCATATTTAACAAAACAAAACAAAAAGATTTAAAAAAAGACTAGCAGTTCTTGCCTTTTTTTAGCTCTGTGTTTTGGGTCATTATCCTTTTGAAGACCCATGACCAAGAACTGACTCAATGCCTTCTGACACTGGACATTTCACTCTAAATTCCTTTCATTGTCTTGAGATTTTATTGTACCCTGCAGAGATAAAAGAACCCTGCTCCAGATGAATAAAAGGAGCCCCAGATCATAACAGAAACTCCTTCATATTTCACACTGGGGACAGTGTTCTTCCCTTGACATACTTCATTTTTTCCATCTGTGAACAGATAACTGGTGCACCTTGGCATAAAGTTCAATTTTCGTCTCATCTCTCCACAGGATATTCTATCAGAGGCATTGTGTTTTGTCAACATGCAGTTTGACTGTTCTCTGTCTGGCTGTTTTGTGACTTGTCTACAACAATTCTGTCCTTTGTCGTCTCCCATTAAGTCCAGTTTGGCTCATATAAAAATGGACAGTGCAATAATCTTTGAGCTTGAAGTTCACCTTTAATCTGTTTAGAGGTCTCTTTCGTTACCGTTTATATTATCCATCTCCTTTATTTGTCATTAATTCCACACATTTGGCCACATCCAGGGATGTTGGTTAAGTCCCATGGATCTGAATAATCCCTCCAACGGGTCACAGGAACATCAAGCTGCATGGACATGGTCTAATAGCCTTTACCTTTAACATACTTGCCTGTGATTTTCTGTCTAATCTCCTGAGACAGCTCTTTCTTTGGCTTCCTCTGGTCCATGTTGAGTTGGGTACACACCACGTCACAGAACAGCACAACTAACTTTAGTCCAATTGTAGACACCTGTGATGCCACTTGATTGGACACAGCTTGTCTCTTTAGAAACAGTATTTTTAGACTCTTCTAGGGTTCCCTTTATTTTTGTCCAGTACTGTTTCACAAGTTTATTTTTTAAATCATTCTGCTGAAGCATGGTTGAAAATCAAAGTCTGACTTTTATTTGTTTAATTTCTTTTAATTCTAGCATACTTTTTATTATGACTTTTGTCCAATGGACGTTATTTCTTTCACCATTTGCAGGGTTATTTTGTCCAATTGCGTAATACAAATATAGTTATTTTATACATCTGTAGGAAGTTGGTAAAGCAATATTTTGTAAAACTTAACTGATAAAAATGAATAGAATTCATCCTATTTATTTAAATTTTCCAACCATATTATTTCTCTTTGCTTCATTATAATGCTCTATTTTGTGTTGGTCACATGACTCGACCCTTCACTTTTTTTGGAAGTGTGGTTAAAATAGCTTTTTATATATATTTTTGTATTTCCTTTATTATTCTGTGACAGTGACATCATATGTTTCTGGTTTGTTGTTTCATGTGTTTTTTTATGGATGGTTGCCTACATGTTTATAATAGATCTTCTGAATATCAATCACATCTCATATTGTAACATAAAAATATGCTTGTTTTTTTTTTTTTTTTTTTAGGCTTGCTTAGATATATTTCCCCTTTTTACTCTTTCACTTTAATTACAGCTGTAAGCATGATGATATAAATTTTGGAAATAATTTTAAATGAGTGATTTATGCCATCAAGTCGAGGCATATCTCTAAATTGATTATTTGCATTCACTTATATCTTGAATTGAATCAACAATGGCTATTTGTAAAAAGAGAAAAATATAATGATAATCCAAAATAAATAAGCATCAATGCAGAACTTTACCATGCATAAGTTTTAAATATGAAAAATAATTTAATCCTTGGCACGAATCTGCTTTTCCTTCTTTGTTTTGTCTCCATCTAGTGGAAAAACTATGGTAGTACATTAAAAACCAGTACAGTCTGCATACTGTAAGATAGGCTAGAGAGATTAATTGTGCTTAGTTAGGTAGGAGAATTATAGCCTACATTATTTTTTCCCCTAATCACTCCAGGAATAAGGATTGTTTTTATTAACTATTTATAAGGTAAATTTATGTGTTTATGCTTTATTAAACCGCCCGAGGAAACATTCTTTAACTTTTTAACAAAAATTGACAGTATTTGGCTCTTTCTTTTCTGTATTATAGGCAATATCCTTTTTGCTATAATTTATAAACCCCCAAACACCATATTAAACACATTTCCTTTCACCTTGAGAGTTTATGGGTTCACTCCTGAGAGGAGCAACAACATGCCAGAAGAGAGTTCACTCTTCGGGCCGAAATCCAAAAGGAAAGAAAAATGTTCTCCAGAAATAACTGCAACATAAAACGATATGAATAAAGATTTATTTCCCATATGAACAGGTGGATTTATTTTTCATTTTATTTCACAATCTATGACAGTCTCGCATTTTTTACCTGCTTATTTTTTCTAACATATTTTAGGAATGACATGAGTGGGAAGTAAGAATTGTTTTTATTGCTGAATGTTAAATGAAATACACTTTCACTGACTTGAAAATAATTGACTGCTGCTTAATTTTTTTCTTCCTTATTTTTTTAAGTATCCATGCACCCATCTAACCTTGACCACAAGGACATGCAGAGGAGAGGTGTTCAAACATTTCAAGCGAGGGGTGGGGTCAGATTTGTGGGGGGATTAATCAAATAAAAAAAAGAGGAGACTGGCAGGACATGCCTGGTACCATATCAGTTGGAAAGGGAGGGGAGAGGGGGGTTATCACATTTAAACTAGAGGTGTGGAATCATCTCTCACCCCATTCAGACATACAAAATAAGACCCAGAAGTGGAAAACCAGTGGAAAACCTGATGAAATATCTGGAAGCTGTGAAAAAGACGTGGTCAAATTGTTCTCTACAACAAAACCTCTGTGCATTTATCATAATTTGCAGATCAATCCTGTTGGAACATTTTGCACTCAGTTGTTCTTTTAAAACTGATTAAAAGGAGCAGACTAAGTATGTTTTAAGATTATTAACTGTTGCTTTCTATCACATCCCTTCAAAGTAAAGATGCACCAATTTGAAATTTGTATTTTTTTTTATTAACTATTGTCGAATAATTAAAGAGGAAACAATTTTAAAGTCTACTGAAAATGGTAAAAAACTAAATGCGCCATAGAAAACAGATTGTATTTATTTGTATACTTTTCTTAAAACTGGGTTAATATTGTGTTAGGGTGACATTTTAGTTTTGATACAGCCTGACCGGCGGGACATGGTGTCCGGGGCCTTGCTGCCATCAAAGGCGCTGCTCTTTATAGATCTACTTGGAAGATTAAAATGAACAACATTGCAGACATTATGTTTAGATGCAATTGGGTGCAAATACTCCTACACTGGGTCAGAGGTGAGCTAATGAATGACGTTTTGCTCTCTGACAAGAGCAAGATCAATATGAGCCTACATGTTTGAGTCTCCATAGGCAGTAACACTGGGAAATCAGAAAGATTTATCTTTAGGTTCATTAACAGAGGACTGTGTATGTGAGCTAAATGTAATAAAATCCCTATATTGGCAATGCAAAATACCTCAAAGTACCCTGTACAAACTGATGTCCTGTAGCTGGCTGCTCCTTTATGTAAAAAAAAAAGGAAGTAGGGAGCTGTTTAATATTATATTTTCACATCTATTGGCTCCTTGCTTTTCATATCTTCTAACTGATGATTAACATTTTTTAACTCTACCACCTTTCAGAAAACATTTCAAGATAGGATTTTAAGAGTTATTTATCACATCTTTGTCCTGGGCGAATGCACCAGGTAGTGAGGGTTGTAATCAGCCATGTGTAGATATACCAATGTTATGTGTGCCAACGTAACTGGACAATTGTTCATTATGCCATAAAAATACACATCGTCTGGGTTACCCTGAACAGGGCTGAGACAGATGACTGCATTTTAGCCAGAGGTAAATCCTGAAAATACAATAAAACTGAAAAGATGTCATGTATTATGGACATGATTACCATTTTCATGAAAGAAATCCATGAAATTTAAGCTTTATTTCGACTCCACTTTAATCCACCTAAGACATCCTTTGGTTCTTAGAAATGGGTCGGATTTCTTTTAAAGCTCAGGTTTGTGCGTTATTGCTTACTTAATTTTATGAATCAGTTTGCTTCTTGAACAGCGATGCAAACCAAAACTTGTTGCTGTTAATCAGCCTGATATCGCTGACAAATGGATTATTGAACGATAGAAAAAAGAAATGATTACTGAAGTTCTGACTACCTAGCGACCAGACAAAGTTAGAGTGTCTCAGTTTCTTGGCGCATCTCTACTTTAAATGAGGATGATGTTGCTCAATAAATGGTCATCTTACAGACTTAATTCAAAGGGAGATAATAAGTCTAATAGATTTAGTAGTACATAGTACTAATGTAGAAGATGGTATTTGGAAGAATTTTTGTAAAGGTGAAGTGGTCAAAACAAACCTGTGTCCCACACACAGACATCCTATGGGCAAGTGAAGGACTTCACAAAAGGGTAGATCTCTGCATAATGGCTTTAAAAAGAAAAACTCAGATAGGTACCCATTTGTCTCATTCTACACTACAGGCATTACAGAGTTTTTTTTGCACACACAGCAAACTACAGTCACCTCTTAGAAAATGATGTAATCAAACAGCAAAATATAAAGTTTGCATATTTTTGCATCGTATGATCCTCCGTAGTTTTCACAGCTATTTCTCTACATTGTCTTTACGCTCCTCCAAAAGAGCTCCACCTGGCTTTCCTTTTCTTTGCGGGGGAGTGTTCAGGGAACCGGTAGACTGTGTGGTTACCTCCAGGTCCTCACCTTCCAAGAACCGTCGTCTATAAGGTAGACCTTATTCAAGAAAGTGGGATGACGAGAGGTGGAAGTGGGTGCAGGGTGAAGGGGGGATATGTGGAAATCCTGAGACACTGTGTGACCTTTAACATGAGCCACGAAAAACAGAATGGAAACAGAATGATAATGAGATGTGAGAGGAGAAGTGGCTTTGAGTGGAAACAGATGATATCTTTTGTTTTGGTCTCCAATATAGGTATCCCCCATCTGTGCCCAACAGCTAAGTGCTTGATAGCCTTGTACAAGGCTAACGTGAAGAAAAAAGCCACAAGGAAATTATAATAGGACAGAATAGGGGTGAGCCTGGGGCCACATAGTTGTAAACACATCATTAGGCAATGACCTGCGTGGCAGAACCCAGCCTTACCTGTCCACCTACACAAGAGGAGAGAGAGTGCTGTGGGGTAGCTCCCCTGTTTCCAGAGAAGTTTTGCACACACACGCACATCCACACATAACAATCTGTACCCATACTCAACTCAAACACAACTCTCTTCTTTCCTCATCTCTCAAGAGGACGCATCAGTCAGAGGGTAGAAATATTCTACGTTATATTTATGAGGAGTTCTGTTACATCCCAAACACCACCCCTACTGGACGAATTACATTAATGTAAACAGACACTTTATGTTGAAGTGGTTTATATTGCGTGACATGGAAAGGGATTTATGCTGCAGTGGGGACAGACTTCTTAAAGAATGCCTTTTTTTTGGAAAGAAAGTGAGACAAGAGGAAAAAAAATCTGACAGAACAAAAAACATAAATGTGTATAAAAAATGAGGCGTCCATATAAGAAAGGCTACAAAAACCTCCACTGGCCCCTCTGGGTTCGGCAAACAGCAAAAGGCACCACAATATTACTCTATTTTTTTTTTTTTTTTACGTTGTGAAAAAACTGGCACATCTTTTTTATGCTGTAAATCAAAATGTACATATAAATAGAGTTTTCCCTATAAAAAATCTTTGCTGTTAACTAGTAGACAACTTTTGCTAAAATGAAAATAAATATTCATTTGTTTAGAATATCTGTCAGTTATATAAAATAAAATATTTCTTATAGATGCAGGTCTGTACGATATTGGTTCTTGTTGGTTCATCACACGCTTTAATGGGGCGTACTGTCCGGTTTGGAGCGTGGCTGTGTGAGTCTTGTATGCATGTTGCCACGCCCACTGTGCCACCCTGATGAGTGAGAAGTCCGACTGTCCACCGGCCTGTAGATGGTGGAGGGCTCGGCGTTCATGTTCTGCATACTGAGGAAGGGAGTGTTCTCACCATCCTCCTCTGACTCGCTTTCTGTTAGGCAGCTTCGAGAGCCGTAGTCTCGAGACGCCTCGTATCCACGCGGGGCCACGTGGCCGTTCAGTCTGGATCTCCTCCAGCGCCGGCTACCAGTTTCACCGGACCCACTTGTCTTTGGTTGCTCCCGAGAGGAGAGGTACTCCTGGGTGGTCTCATAGTCTTCTTCCTCAGCCAGCCGGTAGGGGCTGGAGGGCAGGCTGCCCCTGCTGTCCTTTAGGTAGGTGCGGCGCTGCTGCCGGTAGGGCTCCTGGCACTGGGCATCATGTAGGGGCACCTGGTAGCGGCGCAGCAGAGGCTGGTCATCCTCCAAAGGATAGGGGTTGTGGACAGCAGGAGGGAGGGACATGGCATGGCTGGCATTGGGAGATGTTATCTGAAAGGTAGGCACCTGGGGGGGCAATGAGTAATGGAAATCCACCGGGGACAGGCGGGCTGGTGTTGTCAGGGCTGACACGTACCTGAAATACAGAGGAATTCAGAGGTCATTAAAGAACGACAGGAAACGGCAGACGGGGAGCACAGAGCATTTCAATAACTTAACACCCACATCACACCTTAAACATCAAGTTAAACAGAAACTCTAATACTGAGTGGGCGCAGGTACTTTTAGATACCAAGAGTTTCTGTGTGGGTTGAGCAAAACATCAACAAGTTTCAGCTCTTTAAACAGAATCTAGTGACATTTGTTTTACAGCACGTTCAAGACTAAACAAGTTGTAGTTAGGTAATTTGCTTTCATTCACTGCTCAAGATAACTTGACTTATCTTGATGATGAAATAACCCCCCTCCATTGGAACTAATAGGTTTTAAATATTAATACCAGAAAGCATTCAACAAGAGATATTTTTTTTTTATTTCTGCTAATTTGTTTACAGATGGTTTCAATACAAACCGATGAGACCGATTTTTGATGAATAATAGTCCTTTTTCACAATAATTTAGTAGAATCAGTAAACTGATTCTTCAGCATCGTATCACCTTATCAACTAGCAGATATAGATAACATGCACATTCTTTAAATGGATAAAGGCAGGAGTAGAAAAACTGTTTCGTGGGGAAATAAAGCGGAAAAACTTTGTGATGTCATAATTGTGAGGAAATTATCTTTGCATGAAGCTTCAAAGAGCAAAAAAGCTCCATTCCTGTAATGAAAAGCAGTAATATTTTTGGTCAGATAGTGCAAAAAACACATTAGTATTTCTCTGCATACAGATGATATGTTAAATTCGTACATATTAATATCTACATTTTTAAAAATGTTGCCAATGCTAATGTTTAGCAATAAATTAAATATTCCATCCCTTTTTTATAGCATTATGATAGCTCTTATTTCAAACAAGCTATGCTGGATGGTTATATTACAACGTATTCTAGAAGTTGGTTCTTTGCACATTTATGTAATTCGAATGCTCGGGTAACATGCTTGTTTTTGTTTTTAAAATATTACAATGCTGGAGCATGCCGACAGTTTTTATTTATCAGTGAAAAACTGTCAAACTGAGCAGGCATCTTCAGATAGATGAGAGTAAGAACCCTGACGGCTCACGATTGCAGGATACATGGATTATATTCTGTATTCTGCATATTTATCTATGCTTGTTTTGTTGATTTAGAAGTCACTAGAAGCTATATAACTGAAAACCAGCATGAAACTGAATGGGAAGATTTGAAGAGATGGATTAATAGGAAAGGTTAAAAGTATTTTAGAGATATGTTTAATGTGATCTTTTAGAGCCTATTTTTGGATTTTTTTAGTTTAGCCTTGGTAAGTCCTACTGTATAGCATTCTTTTGAACTATTATAAATTACTATAACAATTGCAATACATAAATAAAATATTGTGCTTTTTGTAATCTATAATCATGGCCTAAATGCAGGAAAATCCGAAAAACATTTTAAATATCATGTTTCCATTTTCTTTCTCTTTTTCTTTTCTTTTTACTTTTATATTGTTGTAAGTAACACTGTGATGCTTAATAAAATGTTGCTGGTCTGTAGGACAGGAAAATCACTAACCTACATGTATTTTTTTGACTCTTCTCTAAGAATTATACCTTTTTTTACCCATTCAAGTAGATATAGGTCAGTATCAGATTCTAACAGAATGATAACCCTGAGTAAGAATAAAAGCTTTAATTTTAAGGCAGTATTTATATAGATTTCAACAACATATATAATGTCATATTTAATGTTATTTTAGACTAAAAATTTATAATTAATTATTAATGAAACTAAAATAATTACAATAATGTTAGGATATGATTAATTATATATTGCGATATATATATTGATTTCAAAATGTAGAAATCCACTTGCTCTAGCAGCTCTACGGGGGTTGCAGTTAAGAAATGTACAATAAATTAATTTTATGAAGTAGAATTATAAGAATATATAAATAAATCTAATTAAAGTGAGAAGTTAAAAAACAATAATATAATAAAAACTATTTAGTTGATCATAGATATTTCCAGCTTGAGCTGAAGTCATTGTACTAAGGTTGGGAGTGGCAGGCTGGTGGGAAGTGGTGGTCTAGTGGTTAGGGCTTTGAAGTTGGAATCCAGAGGTTCTGAGTTCAAATCCCACTCCAACAGTCTGCCATTTTGGCTCTAAAATCTAATACATGATATAGGTTTCATGATAAAAAACACACTTGAGTAAAAAGATGATTGTGAACGCTTCTTAAGAGCTCCAAATTTTAATTTACAAGAAAAATGACATTCTTGCACTGTAATTCAACCTGTTTTCTTTTTTGGCTTGTTATCGGTACAGCTAACAAATTCCTAAAGCTTATCCTCTTAAGTCATAAAACTAAATAGATAAAAAACATATTTCTTAAAGAAAAAGGCATGTGGAACACAAGGAAATCTACCATTTAAAAACATCTATTGTGGCTTGGCAGCCATGCAGAAAGTTCATGTTTAAGCAACAGGCAGGTTTTTGGAGATACGGCTGCCGTGCCCAGAGCTGCATGAGAAGATTGGCATCAGGGTAGAACATATAAAGAAATATTTAAGGGATAAATATAGACTACAGCTGAGCTGATAAAGGGCTCATTTTCTAACTTGCCAAACAGAGCATCACCTATCTTTGTTATTTTCTGTTGTGACTATCAAATGGTTTGTTAAATAAATATGAATAAGATCCAGGTAAAAAAAAAAATGGTCTCAAGAACTGTATTCTAGTTGGGGAATAATGTTGTAATAGCTGAAGGAGCAGAGTTCCCACTGACATAAGCAGTTTTTCTAACTCTTGCCTTCCTTTGCATATTTGAAAATCATGTCTGTTGTGTGTCAGTTTCCCCTGATTGCCCTCACTGGCCTCTTGGGGCGGACGCAGAGCCAGCAGAGAGGGGAAATGTTTCTGCCTGTTTATTACAATCTTAAAGCTAAATTGGCCAGGCAGGCCCTGCCTCCCACCTGTCGCTGTGCGGAGAGTCTCCCAGCGAGTCGAACGAGTCTCCATACTGCAGCCCTGGCCGATGGGGATCAGAGTAACCACAGTGAGCAGCTCGCCGCGCCCGTGCCTCCATGCATGCAGGGCTGCTGCATTTACTGGTCCCCACAGAAGATGACATCATTCCCGGCGAGTCAGAGAGGAAACTTTCAGACCGATCCAGGCTCCATGTCCGTTCCTCGTGTCTGTCAAATAAAAAAAAGGTGTTAACATGAACACACCCCGAATTGTCCAAAAGATTATATTTTTCCTTCTTTGTAGCAGAGAATAAAGCCCTTTTAGCAAAAAGGAAGACTCTCTATTTCCACAGGAAAAGGATTTATCTACTATGAGTCACCTGTTTAAAACCTACAATCTTTACTCCTTGATCTTCTCTCCTCTAATACTGACACATAAGTTCTAGCAGTTTTAATACTCCTCCACACTAATTAAATAAACTTGGCTTATTTTATGTCTGGCTTATCAATTTTTCAAGTTATTTAAATTTAGTCAAATCTGATGGATTCCAAACCCAAGCAGTGTTTTTAAGGTCATACCACAGCAGCACAGTTACATTTTGGCTGAAATTCTACTGGCAGAATCCCAAACCATTATTGAATTGTGAAGGTCATTATGAATCATAAGTATTTGTGCATTGTAACCGTCAATTTCTAAGTTGTAAGGAGAAATCAAACATAGCTTTTTGTAAAAAAAAAACAATCCATCTGCCAGTTCAAATCAGTTAGAGAGCACAAATTAAAATTACCTTCATATTTACATTTTTTAAGCCATCCAGATCAATGAACTGCTGCATAGCCCAAATGATTATGATTTCACACAAAAAACATTTTTCTTTGTTGTATATTTATTGTAGAAAGTTTGGCAAATACAGGCAGATTAACAACTGAAGGATTGTATTTGGCTAAAACAAACCAAAGACACTGAAAAAAGCAGGAAGACCAATTAACTGAAAATCACATCTACTGTATGCTAACATAAAACGACCAATCGAGAAAAAAAAAAAAAAGGAAATCTGCAGACTATCCTTTAAGTTCGACACAGGGAGTCTGATAATAGCTTGAAGTTATAGAAAATAATGGGAGGGGAAAAGATCAAGGCAAACCGAGGACACCTAGTGACCATTACAGGGAACAGATAATTCCAAACAGTAACTCCTGGACCAAAAGAGATACACAGGAGATGAAACTCTCACACAGCAGCTACAAGTTTGTTTAAAGATATAAAGAAAACGTAAAATGAACCCTAACCCAAGAAAATACAGGGGCAGTAATCTATTACCTTACACCCAGTAGAAGAGGAGTAACAAAAATGTATCGCACAATCTAACTTAACAGCTTTGGTTAGCTCACGTCACATCAGTCTAAGAAAAAAATGACATTACAGGCACAATGTGACACATATAAGGACTGCTTACCTTTGAGTTGATGAGTGGGCTCGCGTGGAAGAGTTGTGAGATCTGGAAGAGGCATGACTGGCTGGGAATGAGCGCTCTGTTGCTGGCCGTGTGACTCGCTCAGTTGCAGGGACATTCTTTGATATGTACTGTAAAAATATCAGAAACTAATTCATTAATGTAGAGTTAACACATCTTCATAAGATGTATTTATGTTCATCATAGCATTTTATTGGACTTTTCTCTCATAAAACGTACATCTACCATAGGGATTTCCTCTGGGCCGGGTCCTGGGTGATTAGGTCCATTAGCAAGGTTTCGGTTGGGATGTTCAGGGCACATGTTCTGTCGCATATGATTGTGCATCTTCTTTCTTTGTTTCCTGTTAAATGATGAAAAAATATACATTTTATTCATTTTTTCCTTTGCATTTTGTTAAGTTAAACTATCCATTCAAAACATAAAAAAATAGAATATATAGCTGATTGCTAAAGGAAAAATAAAACTTTAAAGTACAGAACATAAAAATAATAAATAAATAAAAGAACTAAATCTTTATAAACCTGATCTTTTCTTTTCAAAGCAAATCAGGAACTTTTAAAGTATGTTTGGACAACAAACAAACATACAGTAAATAAGAGCCAAATATGGAAAACTTAGGTGCTGTATCCTTAACTGTTTCGATCCAAACTGTGTGTATTTACCCACAGTTGCAGTTGTGTTTTATATCAGTATTTTAACTTATCTTTCTAGAGTGAGAGAGTTTGCATAAATTCAGTGATGCAGGGAATTGTATCAATAATCAGGTCCAGAATTGGAGCAGAAATTACCAAATGCTGCTTTTTTTTTTTTCAAGCAGTTATTTATACTGCAAAAAATGGGATTTCTAAAATCAAGGGGAAAAAACTAAATGGCAGGAAAAAGCTTCTCAAACTAAGTAAAATCATTGTTGATATTTCCCCATTACTTTGATATTTCCCCGTTGATATTTCCCCATTACTTTCTTTGTCATTGAATAATTCACAAAAGAAATCTTTACTTTTAGGTGCATATTCACCCTGGAGAATTTAACAATTGCAACCACTTTTTTCTTTTGCGTGACCACTACGCTATGCATTGATTGCTGTCTTGCATTTCAGACATAAAGTCATCCCCACCTGTTAAATTTCCCTGTCTTATCCTGTCTCTTGATTTCTCTCATATCATGAATATAACTGTACTATAGTATAGTTGATTATATATGCCCTTTCAATGCCAACATCTTATTGATGCCATTGTCTTTTATAAACTTTTCAACATGGACTGAAACGGCCAAAGATAGTTATATTGATATGCAAAACTTACTTGGTTTTACAGTAGGCAACCACACACAAGATGCCCACCACCAACAGAGCCACACAAATACCCGTGATTGTCAGGACTCGTTTCTGGTAGAGTTCCTCTGCCTCTGTCAAAAGATACACCAGCAGAGACAAAAGAGGGAAAAGGAAAGCAAATAATTAGTTTCAAAGTGATATTTCCCGCAGTTTTTCTAAAAAGATAACAAAATCTTCATCCTCCCCTTTCTAACAAAAAGAGCCTGTCCTATCGCATTATCACATGGCAGCAATGATCTATCTATCTATCTATCTATCTATCTATCTATCTATCTATCTATCTGTCTGTCTGTCTGTCTGTCTGTCTGTCTGTCTGTCTGTCTGTCTGTCTGTCTGTCTGTCTGTCTGTCTGTCTGTCTGTCTGTCTGTCCGTCCGTCCGTCCGTCTGTCTGTCTGTCTGTCCATAATTCACAAAGAAAAACAACATTTACTTTTTTCACAACATCATAAAATCAGTTTATCAAAAATAGGATTAAACATATTATTTTAAAGGATGATTTTTGTTTATAATTTTCCAGAAAAGAGCTTCTGTGTGGCAAAGGTAGAAAATTATGGGGCAATAGGGTCTTTAAAAAGCAATATGACTTCAGAGAAAAAAAATAGTCAATCCAATATTTCACATCTTCCATAGGAGGCCTTCTTTCATTCACCAGCAGCCATGTTTGTCATCACGCCAATTTGTGACAAGTTTATGGCGGCGTAAATATATATTGGAAGTTAGTTTATCTATAGCAGTAAAGTGGGAAATATTTCACTGGGCATGTCATCTGCTTATAATGACTTTATGTAGAGGAAATGACACTGGTGCTTCTGCAGTAACACAGTGTTCCTCAATTCTAGTGCGTGAATGCACTTGTATAATTGCACCATATCTGAAAGAATGCCTCTAGCCATTATTCTAAAATCTCACACACAGAAACCCTTTTCTGTTAAAAAAAAAAAAAAAAAGTGACAGGAGACAAAAGCGGACAATGAAAAGAGATAGAGGCGGATAGAAGGGAAGTGGGAGGCTGTCAAACATTAAAAAAGCATGCATTGGAAAAGGAAGAATTTGTACCAATATAACACATATTATGATTCCGACTTAAACATTTGTTTGATAAAGGGTATGGAGAAGGGTAAAGTAACACATAAACAAAAAGAGAGTCAATGCATGTGAGAGAATAAAAGAAAAATATGAAGGAAAAAGACATGAATAAACTAGACTATTTGCTGATCCATTAGGGACAAACATGAGGCATCATGCTTGTTACAAATCAAATTAAAAACCAGGCTTCTAAAAGGGAAAACTTAACTATTGTGAGAAAGTTGGAAACTTAGTTAACAATACTTTTTGATCACATGTACAGTGGGAGGCGTTGCATCCATGTTAATGATGCTGGACGGAGAATCTGCGAGTTTGTCATTCTGATAAGTTATGATGACTCCAGAGATTGATTGGTTAATTAAAAACAGGAAGGTGTGTTTTATAAATCAACGAGCATGTCACACCAAAAGACGTTGTGGTAGCTAGGCTAGCGCTGAGAGTCAAAATGGATTTTTTTCATACCCATATATTCAATCCCAAGATGCTCTGCCATTGCAGAGGGTTGACAGATGAAAGGAGGAACAAGGACAAAAACAGAAACAAGAGAGCAGATTAAGATATTGGCACCTCGAGCATACATATAGTGGTGTATAAACAAGTTGGCAACACAGCCAACTATGAGAGAAAATATGTTTTAGTAATTGCGCAAGACAAGACAAAACCAAGAAGCACAAACTTGAAACAATACTAGACAAAACCACACAAAACAACTGAACAATGTTAACTTCACATTGCCTATTAGGGCTGTCAGTTTCTACAGATGGAAGGTCCTCTGGTTTCTGCATGTCTCAACTTATTAAAAGAGTCTTTAATTTTAAGATTGATGGTAATATTTGAGGAAAAGGATTTGTTGTTATAAGGATCAGAAGGATGCTGCCGCCATCCTGTTATTGAACTAAATCCAATAGAGTAATCGGAAATACTTTAGTGTGTAACGTGTCAAGATACAGAATATTCCATTAAAATTTCACAGAGCAAATTTTGTCTTTTATTGAGTGAAATTGGAGTTATGATGTACAATTTCATTCTGAAGAGAAGTTATGTTACCTAAACAAACTTTAAACAGGAAGTGAATATTGGTTGCATAGTAACCCTCATTGCTGCTGTTAGAGGAAAATATGTGTCATCTGCAGAGATTACCCGTGCTTTTCAGTTTTCTGCCGTGCAGACTGTTACACTGTCAGCTCCCTGACACACCCATCACATGAACAGGCAAGTTAAGGGCTGGTGTAAAAAAACAGGGGTTGTTCCAATACATCTGTACTCTGTATTGGAATAATATTGCTGAATATAAAAATTATTGTTGGGCCATACATTTTCTGACAAAGTGAAGCCATGTGGACGTTGCACCAATGAGCCGAGTCCATAACTCTGGCATACTTGTTGGGTTTGGCAGCTCTCAGCCATGATTATGATAACATGATAATATTGTATCTCATGAGGATAAAGGCGCCTCGATCTGGGAGGAGACTCGGATGGTATGAAATTGGATAGTTTTTTTTGTATTTTTTTTAGAATATATATTCATGTTGTTAAAAGAACCTTGTAAAATCCCATACCAATCAGACTTTTTCATGTTATTTCACGTTTTAACTATAGACCTGAATGTATTTTATTTGAATGTTATGTAATACAGCAACAAAAAGAAAGGTTGCATTCAAATCTGGAAGGAACATGATGATACCTTCCACATTATGAAATCTTTTTTTACAAGTACAAGTTTGAAAAATGTCTTCACTGCTTTTAAAAACCAGATAAAAATTTGTCAGAAACTCATAAAATCATGTCCTGTTTTCCTTTCTCTACTCAAATATATCCCCCTTTGAAATTACAGTGTGACAAAAGTTTGAAAAGTTTAATAGGTGATAATATTTTTTAACAAAACTCAGCTTAAAGACCTATTTTAACTTTTCTTATGCCTTTGATAGACTTACAATGAAAATAAAACATAAAAGTTTAAGCAATTACAGGTTGACTTTTTTGACACAGGCACACACCTGTACTGAGGTGGGGGAGCGTCAAAATAAAGAGAAAAACATTTTTTCAGTACGACAACAAATTTTAACACGTTGCATCGCAGCCTAATGTGAACTAAAATTACTTGTAATTTACTGTATGTGTGTGGGGGGCATGTACAACAAACGTAAACTGGACTACAGAGATACGTCTTTGTGATCAACAGGCAGATTAACAAAAGCAGAAGCACTTTGGTATTCTCTTGAAGTTACTTTAAATGGAAACAGTATGAGCTTACAGAAGACATGATGCTAACAAATATGCTGTAGGATTTTAGCGGGAGACTTTGTTTTAACAGAACTAAGTTGTACTTTGCCTATTATACTAAATAAAGAAAAACATCATATCTTCAGCTCTGGGGGTTTGCAACAATAATACTGCATTACTTGTTATCTTGGTTGAATATTTGTGAGGGCCTGAGGGTATTTTTACACAATGGATGTTGTATTTAAACGAAGACAGTCTGAAGGAAGGCTTTTGTCTCTAGATTGTTATCACAGTAAAATGCCTTAAGGGCAGGATTTATTTTAGAAAACTTCTCAACAGATCTTCCATTAATTTTGGGCTAATCTTGAAATTGATGGATGTTTTTGCCAGTGTTGCTATGTTGAATTGAGATGTTAAAATGTCTGCTTAGAGACTTGCTGGACAGTTTTTTTTTTTTTTTCTATTTTGTGTTGAAATATTTTTCTTTAACATAATTAGACCATAGAAAAATACAAGGAAGAGCATGATTATAAAGATAATGAATGCACTTAATTTTATTTAGGAATGCCAAAGCAAAAGGGGTGGGGTGCACAAATTATTCTTTTGTACATTTTTAAAACTTTTAACTTTTTTTACTGCTTAACTACCAATATATAACAACAATGTTGGGATATATAACATTGCAAAATGTGAAAGTTAAATAAATCTATTCAATATTATTTGCATGGGGCTCCTATGCAGTATGAGCACCATTTTGTTGGTTTTTTGTGAAGCCTACATGTCAGTAGTTAAAAAAAAAATTCAACAAGTCAAACTTTTACGGTGTAGCCCTAACCTTTAATTTCCTCAGAATGGCTGTAATTGAGGACCTCGGCATGCAATCAACTGGTCTGAAAGTGAAACAAGCACGGGTTCTTGCCTCAGCTTTGAAGTACTGTGATGCGCGGCTTTCAGATGCATGCAGCCACAATTAGTCAAGAATTAAGCAAGTATTGGGAAACATTCTGTCATGTTGATTCATGTTGCATCTCCTGATACCGCTAATTAAAAGTTTATATACGAGTGAGCTGTCTGAGAGACTTTATGGAGGCGAGAACCTGAGTTCTAAGCTTTAGCTAAGCTTTGTTACACCTACAGAATGCAAGATTTTACATGCATTTTTACTAAAACTTTTGCTCAGACTATGATTTGAATTAATGGATTGACTCAAGTAATATCGCACATGCATACAAGCCTTGAAATTGCATAAAGGGGGCTCCCGAGATTAGTTTTTTAGCTTTCATCCTGCCAGTGTTGTTACATGCAGCTCACTTTATGCAAACAATCAGCTTCCAAGAAGCATCTAAAAAAGACAACACACACACACCACAACTTGTTGCATGCAAAATCTACCACGAGACGGCACATGCAAAGCTCTTTCAGCTACAGGAAGAGCGCGAATACACAAAATCAAACTCGGACCAACCACAGAAACACGCTCTACTAATCTGTGCCAGCTTGTGAATGAGTCATCAAAGGACACAAAGATATAATTATTAGGTAACTACAGGAAATGACTGAAATCTCTCTACACCCAGCATGCATGCATCACACAAGGACAGTCTGACACAGAGACAGAAGAGAGAAGTTGACATACGGTAGAAACTGGCCATAACGTAGGTTTGACAGCGATCACCAGTAAAGTCATTTGGACACCTGATGGGAAGAAAGCCAAAGAAAGAGGGGGAGGAGATGAATGAGGAAAAGACAGAAAATAGAGGGACAGTGAAGTGAAAAGGGAGAGCAAGTTGACGAAAAGAAGGGGAAAATTGGGGAGAGGGGTGGGAGAGAAGGAGAGAGACACAGAATTAGAACAACAGCACAACTACGGACAGCAAAAGCAGAGTTTTCCCATGGACGACAGCACCATGTGTATGGTGGTGTGCACAGCCCATTGTGCAGTTGACCTGAGAGGGAGGAAGAGAAGGAAAAAGAGCAAGACGGTTGGGGTGACAGGAGTCCACTGGAGTAAAACCAGGGGCTACAGTGTCTCTGTTGTCGTCTGCTCATATCAAGTAGACATACTTTTTAAAGGATTGGGCATGTACAACCGCTGTGGCTCGGTGTTTGAGCATCGACGGCCGTAGAATCCGTCCGGACATCTGGGAAAAAGCACACATGTGTTATGAAAAAGAAAAACACGAAGATATATTTTTTTTGAATACCAGACATTATAATTTTGAGGGGCTCTGCGCATTGAAATAAACACAAAAAAAAAATCAACATGTGGCAATAACTGGACAAAGACTGAAATCCTGCTACAGGTCTTCACAGCCAATACATAAATCATCCGAAGGAATCCTGTGCAACAAAGCTGAAGATAGGTTAATAAGGTTTCTTCTTGCAAATCCTATTGGAATCCTGGCAGCTGTGCTCACAACCTGCAAATATGCCAGTTTTATCTCAGTAACAACACATCAGACAAAAATAAACACCACATTACTGACTGGAATTTTAGAAATATGATTTATGAAAACACAGAACAAACATTGGACTGTTTGTTTAATGTGGTTTATGGTGTTAACATGTAGCTCTGCCGGTAAGTCAAAATGGGTTAATATTTTTGTAACTGAAGACAGGCTATCTCCAGGATCAAGGGTGTTGACCATACTTCCTCATTATAATCCTATTAGGGTGAGTCAAGGGGTCACTTCAAGAGGCCACCAATGTTTTACTCACAACCAACACAAGACTACCAATCTAACAAAGGTCAATGCTTTTGAATTAGTGGTTTCACACAACACCTCCCAGGAGCACAATAACATTTAAGAGAATTACTCATCCTGAGTGATGGCTTAGTTTGAAACTGGGGCACTGCACCACCCTGATACTAAGGAAACTTGGCTGAAAGTGGAAACATATTAAGCGTAATTAAGACATCAACATAAAGCGCCAACTGGGATCTGGGAGGGCATATATGAGCAGGTTACGTTCTGAAAGAGATAAGCAAATTAGCAAATGGTTTGATTTGTCTGGGAAGATCTGCAGACATTTGACATCCTTGATCCTAGAGTGGATGTTGGAAATTTATAAACTTCAGTTCTAAAACATTTTAACATTCTGACACTCATGTACTGTAACGTGTCTGACAAATGTTTCTCATTACAAACACAAAGTAAACTCTATCTTCTTTGTATTGTATGTGATGGACCAACAAAAGCTCAGCACTTGATTGTGGAATTGTGGGTGAATGTTTAGCTCCATGCATCTGTGGTTGTGCACCTACAGTATATCCACATGTTTTGCCTATGCCTGCATGGATAAAGGAGACTTGCATTGGCTTTTTTTTTTTTAAGCACTCTCCTTCTTGCCTCTCTACCATAAAATACAGATTTGTAGAGTGCAGAAATATTTGTGGTTTAAAGAACAAATTCTCACATCTGGATCTCTGCTCCTCTGGATTTGCCATAGACATTTTAATGGCTTTATGGTTAATGTTCTGCTTGGCTTTCTGGGTTTTCTAATCAGTGTGCTGCATTCCTTTTTCCTTATGATGCCGATATATACTAAGATAAATTAAACAGTAGCAGAAATATAGCCTGAGCTTTGGGTGAATGATTGCACTGAATAATATGATATCCAACTAAAAGTATTTAAAAACAAATATTAGCCCCAAAAAACATTTATCTACGTAATCAATCTCCAGTTATGCACTTCTATTGTGTGAAAACAAAACTCTAGTAGTAAGAACACAACAGGTAAACGATTAATCAACTCTTCTCAGCTAAATCTGACCTTCCTCCTTGTTGTTTGTATCTTGTTTTTTTTAAAAAAAGACATGTATTGCCTTTTACAATCAATTAATCCAACTCCTTTTTTTTGTTCATCTATATGCATTTGACTCTATAAAATATTTGTAGGTAATTAATTAATGTCAACACTGAAGTTTATGTCTTAATGACAAGCAGATGGATATAAAAGACAGCCTTGCTGTTTGCATGGTTGCTTAGACAGTGAGAAATGCCCAGAAGAGCCTGGCCTGTATCAGATAAGGTGGCCATGGGACAACAAATTGCTCCAAGCCTTTCCTACATTAGCCAACTCTATAGGACCTGTGCCCTGGCCTTGAGTGAATTAGCAGCCGCTACTGAGTTATTGCCACCTTTGATTTGTACACAGCATATAGAAGTGCTGTTGCAGTCTTTGCTGGTTGTTTACATTTTTTTTTTTTTGCTCTGGCCAATTTGGCAGCAAAGCCCTGCTAATGTTTCAGCTCTACATCAAACTGCCCGCCAGACTTATGTGACAGTTTATGCCCTAAGAAATCCTGTAAATTGTAATGTCCGACATCCTTTGAAGCGAGATTCATGTTCTGCGCTATTAAGCTCTGATTTAAGAAGTCAAACTAGCAACATCACTATAACTGATCAATTTTTGTGCTCTACAGACTGACATTTTGCAAAGTGATTTTGACACAGTTAAAAATACTCTATACATTTGTTATTTATTTATATATTTATCGTTTGTAACCACAAGCTTCCATAGTTTTTATTGGGAGTTTTTGTGATAAACCCACATAAAGTGGTTCTTTACTAAAAAGTGATAGAATAATCAGGCAACATTCTTGTTATTGAAAAAATAAATATAAAGCGTGTATTTGTAACTTTGTCCAATTTTTTTAATATCCGTAAATAAATTTCATAGAAACGTTAGCTGTCATATCTTATTTTTTCAAGTAAACCCTAACAGCTTTAATAGTACAACCTTAATCACAGAATTAGATAGAATTAGCATACATAGGGAAAGTTATGTGAAAGGAAAACTGCTGCACATTACCCTGAATACATGAGCCCCACTTTCAGATATGGGGATCATTGTATGCTGTTAGGGTAAAATGAGTTGTTTTATCGTGCTATGACATTAAAAAAACTAAACACACACAAAAAACAATAAAACATTAAAACACACCAAGGTTTGCTGATGTGACACAATTAAACACAATTGTAACATTTAAGGGATGCTGTGGGAAAGTATATTAATGGTGAAGAAGAACTCAAAAAAAGATTTTTTAACCCGCAACCTGAAATAAGTTATACATTTGTCATAGTTTAAGGAAACATTTAATGATAAAGAAAGACTGGCCAAGAAACTCTTGCTTCTTTGAAAGTGAAAATTTCTGACACAAACAGATAGAAAACTCCCTGTTTATGTTCCCCTCCTGGAAAGCATCCTTACTTATGTTTTTTTTTTCTTTCTTAAGCCTCACACAAACTAAAATCTAAATGTCAAAGAGGTTTTTTCTGAGAAGATGTCAACCTCTGTTCCCCCTAAAACTCAATGACACAGACTTAAACACATCTTAACACATTGGCCTTGATCGCCTCTCTATAATGTAAGCAACGATTGTATTTATCTCATTGGGGGCCTCTAACAGGAATAAATATTTGTTCACTACTAAACCAGTGACTCATGACATTTAAAAGGGCTTTTAATGTGCAACCCTTTTGTACACTAAACAAGACTTAAAAGAGTAAGCACACCACCTGACTCCATTATTAGTGTTAAAATACACAACAGGTGGCGGATAAGAGGAACCGAGATCCTGACTCCCCCTTCCCCTTTATGCCTAACTACTCTCTACTGCTGAAAGAAACATGGTACATCATGATAATAGTTTTTTTTTTCTTTGCTGTTATATTGTTTTAAAGATCAAACTGTAAAGATTAAAATAGAGAGTCCAAAAAAAGCATCAAAAGGAAAACTCACCTGCAGGCAATCTCATTTAGATTATCGACGAAAAAACACTCGCCACCATTTACACAGTAGGCCTGCTGTGTTTTGTTGCACCCTCTGGTGTGGCCTGAGTCTGGAGATAGCGTTGTGGTTACTAGAACAGAAAAAGAAAACATGACAATTTTACTCATGTATCACGAGAAATCCACAACTATTGGATTAATTGGCAGAGACCAGCTGAAACTCTAAAAATAGAAACATCATTGCTAGAGAGGAAAACCGAAGAGTCCTTTAGGAGATAAGTGTGTTTAATAAGTACATTGGAAATAATAAGCTTTAATCTTAGTCTTAGTGCAGATTTTTACTTCAGAGAAAATATTGACCTAAGATATTAATATTATATTGCCTTATCTTCAAATGAACTCAGTTTAACAAAGATGGCAATCCAAAATTTCTAGTAAGAAATGTGTGAAAATCATTACATTCCATCTTTTTTTGAATACAATGATCATGCATAGAAATATATAAAAAAAATCAACATTTAATGTGAGCTAATTTATCCGAACATAGTGCAGTGCCTCTTTTTAACTAAGTTTACATGCAGTAGATGCAGATTAGTGTAAGATAGCACCTTTTTGTTAAAATGTTGTAATGGTGGAAGGAAAAAAAGAAGGTAAAACAAACTGTTATAGGTTTACTGTATTCATATTTTCATTCACATTTTTGATATTGGCTACAAGAGAAATTCCTCTGTGTCACATGTGCTTCCCAGGGAAAAAGTTATTATTACTAATGTTTTGTTTCCAACAAAGCTGGATCATTTGGCTCATTAAATACATCAGCTTCAACAAAATCACTATAAAATAAATCTAAGTCAATCAGGGATATGAATACTGGTCAAACATGCCCTTGTGGGACAGTCCTAACATTTATAGTCTTGATTATAAACAAGTATTTTGTGATTTACTTATACAACACACTTTTATCTCCAAAAGGACTCTTCAATGTTCAGCCTCAGATGTAATTGTGTTTCTAAGCAGTGTTGACACTATCTCAAGAAGCTTCTACGAAGAAAGATAAATATTTCCCTGTCATAATGTAGGAGTTGTTTATGCACTGACTCAATTCATTGGAATGGCCTGAGATTTCATGTATCTGATCTTAATCCCCCCTCTACTTCTCTGACTGCGCTGATATAACATGCCTGGGATGAAGACTGCTTATCAAAACACGGGACAGGTAAAAAGTGGCAGGATGGGGCTTGAGGGGAATGGGCTGTGCTTAGCATGTCAGATGGTGACACGTGATTGCACCAAATGTTAGATGTTTCAGTGTGACATTGAAAATAGAGATGCTTTGTGTGGGAAAAATGTTAAGAGTCCCAATATATCTGCAGTCTGATACTAATGCCGTGCAAAGTGCTGTAAAGAGGAATCACTCAATTAATTTTTCAGCCAGGCTTCTGGCTCTGACAGTAAGCAGTTCGCCTCCACTGCAAGGTTTCACAACTCCTGCTTCTCATTCTTTATTTTTTCAAGAAGTCGGAGAAGTTTTGCTTTGACAAAAAAAAACAAGACCAACAAACCAAGCATATTCTGTAGGCCAATGTTCTTGTTTATAGTATCAGTTTGAAAAGACTCCAGTAGGTTTTCAATTTAAAAGACTAAAATGCAAAACTGTCACAAAAGATTAAAAGCAGAAGAGTATACATGATGAAAATACAGTAGCTTTGCAATTAAGTTAGATTTTCCTTCCTTTCACACCCATACAATCTCAGGTTTAACTCCAACAAACATCCATCTGAAAAATAAACCAAGATATACATTTACTGCAGGTTTAATCTGGTGAGATCAGTTAATTTGTGATTCATAGCCAACTTCTCCGTTGAAACGGGATTACATATATAAACACCTGAGCTCCACTGTCACATATTCCTGGGTTAGCAAAACACAATAATATTTTTATACCAGAAGAGCCCTTAACATTATCTGCTGCCACTTCCATGGGAAAACCATTTTAGCATCATCAGCAGATCACGGCTAATTTTCTTTTCATCTGAGTCTTCCTGCTTGCACCCAGCCAGGTAAAACACCAGTAGGGAGGCAGCTCATAGAATTTCATGCACCTTCCTTCCAATACTAAAAATTAAAACCTCTCCAAAAGGCTTGGCTTTTACTCTAGATATATAAATGGTAAAAGTGCAGAACAAACTGGTTAAATCTAAAGAGAGCAGATGCTAGTAAAATGGACTTGCATCATTTATCTCTGCCAAGTTTTTATAAAATTTCCCCTTCGAACCCCAAAGAGTCTCCATTCAATCCTGCTACTGTTGCAGTTTAAATCATTTTTAATTAGACGCAGCAGACAACTTTTTTAGAGTTTTGTGCAGTTATTTCTTCACTATCGGGTACTGCACACTGCCAGTCAGCTGGCTGTGAGAAAGATGGCAAGAAGGAAAGAGATTGGAAATGGAAATGACACTACAGCTTAAAAGGGCTGACAGAGCATCAGCTGGAGCATAGCCAGTCAAATTACTATCTTAATTAATTTGTATTCCTATCATTACACTATAATAACAATTATCCATTTCCGTCACTCTATATCCAAGCTGTGGTTGTGAGGGGTGCTGGTGCCTATCTCCAGCTGTCTATGGGCGAGAGGGGCTGTACACCCTGGACAGGTCACCAGTCTATTGCAGTGCAACACAAACAACTATTCACACCTAAGGAGAATTTAGAGAAGCCAGTTAACCGAACAGTCATGTTTTTGGACTGTGGGAGGAAGCTGGAGTACCAGGAGAGAACCCACACATGCTCAGGGAGAACATGCAAACTCCATGCAGAAAGTCGCCAACCTGGGAATCGAACCCAGAACATTCATGCTGCAAGGCTACTGAGCAGACTTATTTAAAAAATATATAATCTATCATAAGAATGTTATGTACAAAAAACACTCTTTTAATTTTGTTTTTCCAAGTTTGAAGACGTTTCGCTTCCCATCTAGGAAGATTTTTCAATTCAAACTGTCAGACTTAGCGTTGAGTTCAAGGCTTTATAGAGTGGACCAAGACAAAGCCTTGTTTTAGCTCACTATGACCTGGATGACTGATATCTTCACCAGCATATTGCTTAAGTCTGTTATGAAAACTGTAATGACAATAAAAAATGTTTATAGAAAGTTATTTTAACTTTGGTACAAGTTTCTTCATGATTGTTGCTTCTCTGTTTCGAAGAAATGTTACCAAATCATCTCAGGCATTATTGTTTTGAATCTTTAAGTTAATATTCTTTCACAGTATTATTTTCACTCAAGGGTATCATACCGTGAGAATGTTGTAACAGCCCATGCCTCCCTATATGTGGGTATAAACCCATATATGTGGGGTGCCTTAGAAAAAGAACACTTAACAGCAAAAATCAAGGTTGCAAACTTGACTGCAGACAGGTTGTGCTATTAAAGTTTAAACCATATGGGCTTCACTGTGGATTGTGTTTTTCCTTCACTGTGGATTCTGTTCTGCAGACTCAATCATTTTTTTGAAAATAGAAAAATAGCTCTGCTTCTTAAAATAAGTAAAACATTTTATTTTAAAATGTAACAAGGGTATATTAGGCATATTACTTGTGTCACAAATGAATAATCGACAGCCCCATTACTTTCTATCACATAACACCACCTGCGTCTGGCACAATGATCGCTTTCAATCATGTTCCATTTAAACCCATCAGCATTTCTGATAAAACTGTTCACATCTGAAGCACAGTAATCTGGTCTGTCATGTTGCTTTAAATGCAAAATTAAACTACCCTAATTTGACTTCTGTGTATACTAAGGCTCCTCATTCGCTGTCTTACGGTATGTTGGTGTCTAGTCTATCCATTTTCCAACAAATGCCCAGACTTGGTGTTGACAACAAAGTATTAACACTCGGCTGTTTTAGATCATATACTTGTTTGTTGTTTGTTTTTAATGATCAAACTTGTTCACACATTTTACTTGTGGTGTACCACAAGGGTAAGTCCTTATTCCAGTTCTTTTCACCATATATATTATTAACTTATCAAAAATATCAGATAGCATGGGATAGATGTCCAATTTTATTCTGATGATACTATATTATAAAGCTATATTAAAAAATTCTAATGAATCCTATCAGTTTGGTTTGCTAAATATATTTCTTAGAGGCTGAAAAACGTCAGTGACCTTTTATTTTCTGATTTTAATTCAGTCAAGTTAGAAGTCAAACTAGTCAATCAGTTACTTTCTTGAAAGTAAAGTTTTGCCCTATGAAAGTAATGTAGAGATTTGTTGGATATAAGCAGGTAACAGACATCATCCATTTAGTCGGATCTCTGTGAACAAAGCTTTGTAGATGGACAGCATGGGATAAAGTAAATTAGAGAATGGCTGAAAAACAGAGGTTTTTCATCAAGTGTTCTTAAAATAGGAGCCTTTCCTAAACAGCTATAGCAGCAGGCTGGTTTTGTGTTGATATCCATCTGAGTGCTTGCAGGTGGAGCCCACACATCTTCACTCAGCACACAGGGTTCATTTGGCTAAACAACAAATCCCACCTGTTTGTCTTCAAGAGCTTTTTCTAAGAAACAGAAAAGCAGCTTCACTCTCATCACAGCAAAGAAAAAAAAGGAGAAAATACCCTTCTCTGGTAATTTAGTCTCCAAAAAGTTACTGCAAATTTCCTTTTTATGCTTACTTGAAAATGATATCTATGCTGTACATATGATTTTGTATTTAGGGCTGAATAAATTATTGAAACCTGTCAACCAGCATAAGACAATCTTTTCGGTGGCATAAATCTCAGCACTGAAAAATCATGACTCAAAAATTTAGGGCAACATACATTTATTTCAACATATTAAGTCAATTAAATTGATTCAGTAGTTTTTCCTTCATAGTTTTAACACAGATAAAAGAAAAAAAAACATATATAGTTGCATGACATCTTCACCAAAAAGCAAAACAATCACCAGTTATGAATTGGCATAAAACTAACCATGAAATAAGGGATGGATCCAAGCATGAAATCATACACTGGATGGTAAAGAACCCCAGCGATCACTGACAGAACAGTGGAAGGATTTGAAACACGGATAAAAATGATCCTCAATGTTGCAGAAAACTACAGATGCATTG